GACACCCTGTCTGTTTCCACGGCTGCGAGATTTAAACCCAAATCCCAGTGGTCTGCTGGCTGCCATTGCAGCGTGTTGATACTTGATTAGAAAGCCTTGACTGTCTCCCAGCTGCTGAGCTCTGTGTGGCTCCCCGTTGTGCGTAGGGGCAGCAGGGAGGGGAGTGAGTAGCTTTTCAGATCAAGGCCATAACCACAAGGGTGCTTTAGCCGTGAAAGCGCGCCCTTCGGCCTTGGGCATGAGGCTCTTTGTGTCTTGCAGTGCTTTCAGTCCAGCGCACCAGCAGTCACCCAGGGGCTGTCGTCCCCAGGAGCTGTGCTGGTGCAGTTGGATATATCAGTGGAGCTAAAACTAGGTTCCCTGGATGTCCTCACTCCTAGGCAAGAATCTTCAGCACAGTGGGTACCCAAGTTCAGTACAGATCAAAATCACCTGGAGAGCTTGTATAAAATGCAGATTCCCTAAAGAACAGGGAGATACGCATACACCCAGAGAACCTCCGGAGAATGCCTGGCTCTTAGCATCGTCAGAAAACACTAGCTGGCACCAATAGAAGTGTCTTTTTCTTTCTTGTAAGCAAGTATCCAGGGAGAAGCAACTGGGGGCTGGAGCAGCAGCTCAAGGGACCTCTTTTATTCCTGCTTCCCCCTCCTTAGCATCTGTCATCCTCAGGATCACAGAATGGCTGCTGCACCTCCAGACATTGTGTCCTTTTTCAGGCAGGAAAGAGGGCACAGAGCAGAGAATTTTCTTCCAGAGACACTTTGTCTTTTCACCCCCGCCCTAGGGACTTCAGCCCACATCTCCCTGGACAGCATCACTAGCAGCGAGGGCAGCTGGGAGAGATGTTTGCAAAGGAAAGCGATTAGACGGGACAAGCGGGTCTGTCAGCCTGCAGTCAGTCAGTCTGTCTCTCCCTTTCTCTCTCTCACACACACACGCACACACACTTTGATTCAGTGTTCTTGGTGGGGGGGGAGTCATATTCGAAACTTTGACAATCCCCTTAGTGGATACAAACCACGTTGACAGGCAGCTGGAGACCCAACTCCTGTCTGCATACCCTTTATTGCCGTGAAGATAATCACCCAACTGGGTCCAGTTCCTTAGCTCCTGAGGCTCTCAGCCCCAGCGGGCCCCTGGGGAGAGTGGCAGGACGGCAGGGGAGGCTGGCCACCCGCTCGGGGTTCTGTGGGGCATGAAATGGACCAGCGGGCCCCTCATCTCCGTCCTCAGGGAAGGCGGGAGCAGGTGTCCCCTGGGGGCCAGGGTGACGGGCCAGGGGCTTGCAGCGACCTCTCTGTCTGACCTGGGGACCGTCCTCTCCTCACAGGCCCTAAACAGGAGACAGTCAACGACTTCTGGAGAATGATCTGGGAACAGAAGTCTGCGACCATCGTCATGTTGACGAACCTGAAAGAAAGAAAAGAGGTGAGCCCCGCTGGCCTCTGACTCTTCCGGCTCGGCCGCCGCTGTGCGGCTGGGTGGGGGTTACCGCTTCCTCTCTGCTTCTGCACTTTCTTGTCGCTGCAGGAGACAGAATGCACCCGGCAGCGCAGGCACTTCTATTTTGACATAAACTCTCTGTGTTCCAAGTATCCCACCGTCCTAGACAAGGATACAAAACTGCTGCCAGAACTTCCTTTTTTTCAGCCAAGGGTCGTCCCCGGTTGGCCCAACAGCCCTTCCTCCACGGGGGGAGCGATGGATTTTGATATATAGATTTTTAGTGTCTTGGGCATATAATGCGTTGGGCCGCAGACTATTAAAAAAAAAAAGATTTCCTGCCTCCTACACAGACCAGCAAAATGCATTTGAAAAACAAGGCATCTTAAAGTACTATTCGCTTGTCACTTCAGTGGGTTTAATCAGCCACTTCTAATTCAAAGAGTAATGCATGTGCGTTATAAGAACTTGAAATCTCTCTGAAGAATAAAAGTTAAACTGGCTCATTTCCTCTCTGTGGCAAGGACTGTTAGCATCTGTCCCCCCGCCCACCCAGGACTCCCAGGGAGGCAGCAGGCAAACCCCTCAAGCCATTTCCACCCACTGTGAGAGGCTGGTGCCAAACACAAAGCAAATCAATGTGGATTCTGTCGGGAGGTGACATAACATGTAATGGAGAGTAACAGGGACAGGGGTGGTCCTGGAGGGACAGCCACCCCGAGGACAAGGCCAGGGCAGAGCTTGGTGTGCGCCAGCACTGGGCTCCACTTGGGGTGCACAGCCTTTCCATGCCCGGAGTCATTCGCTTTCTAGCTGAGGGACACAGACCCCTGTGGAGTAAAGCAGGACACAGCGTGACCGTGGCTCTGGAGGTGTGGAGCAGGGGCCGGGGCCCGGGCCGGGGCAGGAGTGCACGATTAGGGGCTGATGGTGGTGCCAGCTGGTGCCAGGGTTACCAGATGCACCTGGAGAGAAGCAGTGGGTCAGGGAGACGTGCGCGAGGCTGGGAGCAGTCTGCCGGCCCCGGAGCCAGGGTGCCCGCGCCTGGGGACAGGACAGCTAGAAAGGCATCAAGGAACCAGGGCTCGGGGCTCAGATGGCAGGGAGAGCCGGTGGGCAGAGGGGGCCTTGGGGGTTCTCAGCTGTGAGCAGGGGTCTGTGCTTTAGGAAGTGAGCTCACTCTCCAGAATGAAAGGGGAATTGGGAGCTGGAGGGAGGCCTGCTGGTGGCAGGGAATGGTTCTTCCCGCGGGTTCTAGCTTGGGGGCCAGAACAGGGGTGGTGGCCAGCAGCGGGGGCGGAAGGCGCCTGACCCCACCTCTGCCCTCTGTCCTCTCTGACCGCCACGGGGCTCCCAGCGAGGCCCAGGCAGCTCGGCTCAGGGCTCAGGGCTCGGGGATGGGCTGCCCTTTGAGGTGGCAGTGACGGCCATGGGGAGCTCAGCTGGGGTGTGCGGGGGAGGCAGCCAGCGGGCAGAGCAGCTGCAGAGTGCCCCCCGTTCCCCCACCTCCAATTTGTTCCGCGCAGAAAAGCACAGGAAGAGGCTCCAACCGCCGCTTCTGGTCAGGGAGAGGTGAGGGGTTTTCTTGTTTTTGAGGGAGTTGGGGCAGGGCTGGGAGGGCCACCCCTCCGTGTGAATCCTGCCCCCGCCGCCCTCTCTCACCGGAAACAGTGGCAGGAGGCAGGGGGTTTCCAGGCGGGGACCCTTCCCTGGTTGTGGGGGCGAGGCTGCTGCCCCCGCGCTCTGCGCGGATGCTCTGCAGGCCCACCCTGGGAGAGGGGGCTGGCCTGGAGCCTCGCCTCCTCTGGACCAGCTGCCCTCTGGGCCCAGGCTTCTGGGGGCCTGTTTACCAACACGGAACATGGGACCGGTGCGGAGGCAGCCAGGCGCAGAGCACCCTGTCTCCCGTCCGTCATTCCGTTGCTATGTTACTTGACGGTTTCTCACGGCTCTTTGAAGCCTCCTACTGGATTTTTCCATTTCTGTGACTCAGAGCTGGCTGGCTTCTGTATGTTGATTTTCACTGTTTCAGATGAAATCATTTCTCAATAGAGTTCCCTTTTTCTTCATTGCTTACACTTCTGTTGTGGTCTCCCTGGCTTCGACATCCTGGTTCAATGTTGTGAAATGCAGCTGCTCTGGCATCTCATGATCTGACGGCAGGGAGGGGACGGCGTCCACTGTGTAGACGGGAGGCCGAGGCTGTGAAACCATCACACACACTGAGCCCTATAGGGGCCTGAGAAACAGCCCTTGGGCCCCCGAGTGAGAGTCTCGAGGCGAGAATCTCAGGAGGGTCCCCTGGAGGCCAATCCTGGCCCAAACCTGGACCTTCAGGGATTGGCTTCTCCTCGAGGTCCCTCCAGAGATGCCCAGGGCCAGGCTGTGGGAGGGGAAGTTGTCCCGTGGGTTCATCACACAAGCTCTGAGCTCTGGTGAATACCAGCTGCCTCTTGGTTTATAAGATGATTAATCCTCGTGACTTAACCCCTTAGCTGTGCTCTCTGGCATTTTCCACGGAAAACCGCCTGGTGTGTGGATGGCTTGCTGACCCCCAGGGCCTCTCCTGTGGCTGTAGAGCAGGTGTCTCCCCCTTAGGTGCATCCTCCTGTCCTCTTTGTAGGAGGATGGCCTGGGGTCAGGGGCTGGGGGCGCCCTGACCCCACCCTCTTGTGTTTATGCCATTTGTAGTTCTGGGGGAAGGAAGGCAGAGAAACAGCCTGTGACCACAGTCCCAGCTCTGCAGATTCCTGCATCGGCCTCTTCCTGGTTGGAGATGAGCCAGGAGCGCCCAGTGGACCACAAGCTCAGTACCCCTACGTGGGGGATGGGCGTGATGCAGATTAAGTCTGTCCTTAGCGCCGAGCAGGAAGAAGCTCCCCTCTGCATCCAGTGGGCAGTGTTTGGGGTGCACACGCTCCTGTAGGGCTTGGTGCAGCCCCGCCCCAGGTGGGGCCACTTCTGCTCAAGTTCCGGGGTCTGAAGGGAGCTGCTCAGACACATGGTTCAATCAAGATGTGAGTTTAATGAATCGATGAGTCAGCAAGACAGGCTTGTTGTCGAAATCACGAACAGCCCGATTCTGGTCTCAGTGAGACCCTTAACCACTGCGTGGTCTCTGTTTGCCCACTGATGAGATGGAAACACACGTCCCAGCTTGGAGGACAGTTTCCCTCGAGCCTGGTGTGTGTGAGGCCTTGTGTCAGTGGCCAGGGTCGGGGTGACGAGTTGATCAAAGGCCCCCACAGACCTGACGTTCCTGTTCGCTTGTTCCACGTAGGAGAAGTGCTATCAGTACTGGCCGGACCAGGGCTGCTGGGCCTACGGAAACATCCGCGTGTGCGTGGAGGACTGCGTGGTTCTGGTGGACTACACCGTCCGGAAGTTCTGCATTCAGTCAGTAAGCACTTGACATTCTTGACTTTCTGGAGAGGCGATCCTTCCAGAGAGCAGCGTTGAGAGTAAACCCAGGACTACGTTTTATAACGCGAAGAGCTTTGCCCCCTAATCATGCAGCAGCTCTGCTGAGTGGAGGCTGAGGCTGGAGGAGGTGCCTGGCGGGGCCGGGAAGGGTCATCAGTGGGTGGGAGACGTGAGTCCAAAGGAGCAAATGTTAGACAGGGCACAGGAGTCTGGAGACAGGGCCAGATGCTTCTGGCTCCCAGTGACCATTCTGGGTGAAGGAAGTTGAATCAGCTGGGGGGTCATGGAGTTTAGGGGGGTCCCCACTCAGTGGCACATTATTGCAAACACTGGAATGGTGAAGTGAGTTTGTTTTTTTTTTAACAGTTTCAAAGTTATATCTGGAACATCTCAGTATTTTTCACACTCATTTCCTCCTAGCCCCCCTCCTCCTATAGGATTTAAGGCAGTCTTCAATAAAGATACCTGTATGCAAGGCAGATGAAATTTAAGAGAGATTTTTTAAAAAACAGAGAAAAAAAACAGAAAGTCATGTTATCAATAATCAAAGGTAGAGTAATTGGTATAATTAGATCACAACATATGATTCTGAGGTTCCTAGAAGCCATAGCAAAAAGGGGAAGAGGCTGAGTTTTATAATTTTTACTGTCCCTGGCTTGCCTCCCTCCCAGAATATACAGACACTCCCAAATACTCTAAGTTTCTGTGGTCTGGAACAGAAAACCAAACTCCTGAGTTCCAAGTAATAAAACCTGAGAGAGGCTTTGAGGGAGGGGCTGGGAGGTCTCCTGAGGGTAGGCCAACCACAGCTCTCCCCTGCAAATTAAGATGCTTTTGGGAGTGAAAGCTTGTGCTGTCAGTAGTTACACAGGACCATCATAGGCACAAAGTCGGCACCCAGAATGTGAACACCCTGCTTACCAGTGGCGTCCACAAGCCACAGGGCCAGCCGCAGGAAAGTGTCTGGCTGCCCGGGGCCTGCCTGGCCCAGTCCTGGATCAGGTGCCCTTAGGCGCTGCTGTGGAGCGTGTCCGGAGCCGGCAGTGAGCGTCAGGCTCTCTCACTCGGGGGTGACCTGCCTTCACTGAGGGGCTCTGCTCACTCCTGGAAGACGGAGGGGGAGCCAGAGCAAGCACCCTCAGAGTGTGGTGTTGTGGGGAGCAGGGGCCGTCCCGCCCACTCACGTGTCCCCGTGTCCCACAGCAGCTCCCCGACGGCTGCAAAGCCCCTCGGCTCGTCTGCCAGCTGCACTTCACCAGCTGGCCCGACTTCGGAGTGCCTTTCACCCCCATCGGCATGCTTAAGTTCCTGAAAAAAGTGAGGACGCTCAACCCTGCGCACGCCGGGCCCATCGTGGTCCACTGTAGGTACGTGCGGGCCGGGGCTGTGGGGCGGGCCCCCAGGGAGGACTCTGCCCCCAGTGGGAGAATGATCAGCAGATGGTATCGGCGTGTGCAGGGGGGCCGGCCGGGGCAATGCAAAACACCTCCCGGATACCAGGTGCGGCTGAGAGAATCCCTCAGGCCGCGAGCTGGAGGTCCATCCCCGTCCGGGTAGCAGAGCCCTCTCACCCGTGGCCCCGGCGGGGAGCCTCACTGTCAAAAATAGCAGGAGTTGAGAGGCCCAAATTGATGGTGGGGGTGGGGCTCTAGACGGTCCACTTGGCCTCCCATTCACCACCCCCTGGAGACCCTCAAGTCACCTCCGAGAACAGAGATGGAAACCATGCCTCTACAGGGGACCCCCAAGTCTTAATACAAGGGCCCGTGAGGCTTGGAGCGGCTGGGGGCTGAGCCCTGGGCCCCAGCGAATAGCGGCCGGAGCAGAGCCAGCCAGAACCGGTGTCCTGGAGACCTGGTCTGTGGTCCAGTCTGCCCTTGGCCGGCTGTGGCTTGCCTGGTTTCCGCATGTGTGGTAGGAAGGACAGCCTGGGAGGGTGGGACTCACGTCGGAGGTGGGCTGTGCAGGACACGAAGCACTGCGCCCACCGCTGTGACTGCTCCTGAGGTTGTGGGAAGGTAGGCTCGGAAATGCCTGCTGTTTCCAGAGCGTGTCTCCCTCCGCCTCTGCATCCCCGGACGCCCTCCAGTTGTTCTCACACTGGGCTCTTAGTTGCTCTGGGCTCCCCAGTCCACAGAATCAGTGCACAAATTCGCCCCCCACAGCTCATGACTAAATGCCCTGTTTGGCTTCTGATACATAAAGGCACGTTCCTGAAAAGGCCTTGGACTTCTGGTTGGCCAACTGGCTTGTGCATGTTTTGTTTTCTAAGACAAAGGCACAAAAGACGAGACCGTCCCATTGCCTCGCTCCCCGTCCCCTTGGTGAACTCATGGTCAGAACCCAAAGGCGCTGGCTGGCTCTCTTCTGTGTCCCCCAGCGCCCCAGCCCAGGGGCTTCTTCTGTATCCCTCGCTGCCCAGGCTGGGAGGTTTGGGAGTCAGAGGGGAGATCCTAGCATCCTGGCCAGGGATGGAATCCTAGATCAGCCCCATTGGAGCCACTATGCATTACGTGAGGTGGCACCTGTAGGATTCCTGCTCCCTGGCGCTGCACGCTCCTCCCAGCAGCTGCACTGGAGGGGAGTGGGGCGTGGTCCAGCTCCACCTGCCCCCGTGATGGTGTCTTGGGGCAGATCCCATTCTTGCTCAGACTTCCTGAAAGCCAGAGTCTCCCGGTGGCTTCTGCTGAACACCTGAACACCTGTGTGGCAGGTTCAGAGCCCCTGTGCCACTGTGTGCAGGTGCCTTTTGTCCCCGGCAGCACCGTAATACTCAGAATGCCCCCATCCGTAACAGCTGGAAACTCAGTGTCCAAACTCTGACACCCAGTGAGCAGGGTCCTCCCTCCTTGAGCCTGGACGGAGGGGCCGGCAGGCCTGAGTCCCTGCATAGGGGTTTCTGAGAAACCCCTCAGAGATGTGGTCCCACTGTAACTGAGATGGTGGGGACCTCTGTCAGCAGCGCGTCATTTGGGCGGAGAGTCCAAACTCCCTCCGCTGGAGAAGCAGCTGGCAGGGGAGCTGTGCGTCCAGCTCCCGATAGCTTTACAAGGCCCGCTCAGCTCTGGACGGCAGGAGAAAAGGGGCGGCCTCTGTGTTGAGTTGAGGGGTGGCTGCAGGGAGCGGCTCAGTTCTGTTGTGTTCCGATCCCTCCAGATCCATTGTGCGTGTGCAACCTCAGGGCGCCGCCCCTCCCCCGCTCACCGCCTCCTTGCCGCAGGTGCCCGGGCAGCTGCGTTCACCTCTTGTCTTAGCTTCACCCTCTGCCCCACTCCGCACCGGGAATTAGCCTCTGCCACCGAGGACAGAAGTCGCCCCTCTGTGGTAGTGTTTTCCTTTGGTGCTGCTACTGCCCCCCGGCTCTCCCTCCTCAAGTTCTGCTTTGCTGGCGTGGCGGGGGGCGGGGGGCAGGGAAGCCCTTCTCTCCAGGGGGTGCTTCCCGCCCAAGCTGAGCCCCATGCCGGCAAACGGGTGGTCTGGGCGCTGCCTGGCAGCAGGTCGTGGGGCGACAGCGGTTCTCACACAGGGTCAGGGAAGAGGCTCACACCGGCTGGCAGCCCCCGGGGACTCCAGGGGGAGTGAACTTCATCTCCCCGTCCCCCCCAGTTCCTCAGGGTCAGGAGCGTGTATGGCCTGGGAGTGGAGGAGCTTTGTGATTTCCTTCTCTGCTCCCACACACCCATCCTCAACATCTTCTTAACCCCTTAAAAAGAGCCAGTGGGGTGCAGGTATTAGCTCAGGGGTAGAGTGCATGCTGAGCATGCACAGAGTCCTGGTTTCCATCCCCAGTACCTCCGTTAAAAAACTAGGACCGACACTCCCTGCCAGGCAGTCCCTGTAGAAACAGCAGGGAGGGGTCTCTTACTACAACTCTGAGCTCCGCACCAACATCCAGAGCCCAGCAGGGAAGGACCCCCTGACCTGGGACCTTTCCTGGGGGAATAGACAAGGTCCCTTTGGTGCCAGGTGGCCTCTCGGCAGCCCCTCCCCCACGTGTACCTGGGCACCTTGGACCCAGCCTCTAGTCGGCTGCTTCCTGGCCCCTTGCAGGCACCTGCTCGTGGGGCATCTTTACCTGGCTCTGCACCTGATGGTTATCTCCTACTTTGAATTTGTAAAGAACTAAGACCTCTGGAGGGGGCCTCTCATGTCTGTCTGCTCTTCCCCCTCCGGGAGGTGAGATTGGCGGGGAGTCCTTCTTGGGGGGGAGGGTCCTCACTGCCTGTCCTAGCACCATTTTGGAAATGAGCCTGAAGCAACGGTACCAGCCTCCCCCAGAAGAGGAACGTGGGGGAACTTCATTCATTACATTGTGAGCCTTTCTGTTTAAAAGCTCACTTTCATGTTTTAGAAGAGGTTAACGCTGCCGGGGCAGGAAGGGAAAAGCCCGGTTCAGCCTAGCGACGGACGCCCTCGGCTGCCGCACGCGAGTCTGGGCCATCAGGGTTTATTTGTTCAGCGATGCTGGCTGAGGTCATTTGTGTGCCCACTGAGCCCTGGGAGCTGGGGAGACATGTGTGGACCGTCCGCTCTGGCTGGTGGTGATCAGGACGCGACAAGTCCGGGAGTGGGGAGGATTTCCTGGGAGCACAGTGGGGAGAACACGGGGAGGAAGGGAACCCACACCCAGGAGAGGAATCTGGCCGCTTCCCGGGGAGGACACCTCTCAGTGGAGCCCATCTCTAGGGGCCAGCTGGCTTCCCCAGCCCGGGGGCGAGGGCTAGGGTCGCAGACAGAGCCAGCTGGTGCCGCCTGTTCTCATGACCTTGGCTCAAGGGCCAGCAGACCTGGCCTGGGAGCCTCCATGCTTAGGAAGAGCCTGGAAAAGCCATATTAAGGGTGACAATAAAAAAAATTCCAATTACACAAGTGATAACGAGAAGACAACATTTGGTAAGCGAAGAAAGACTCCCCTGTACAGCTCACACGATGTGACAGCCGCTCTGTTCCGTAAGCCTTTTAACAGTTTCTAGAGGACCCAGATTTGAGATCTTTTCACTAGGGTCGTGGTGCCCTCTGGTGGTCTCGCCTTGGGTTTGCTCCTTATTAACCAAACGAGGTTTGTGTTCAGTGATGAGGTCTCCTGTCCAGGGCAGCCTGTCCCGACCTTCACTTAGGGCTCACGACGTGGCCTCCTCCTTTCTCCCCAAGCGCGGGCGTGGGCCGGACGGGCACCTTCATAGTGATCGACGCCATGATGGACATGATGCACGCCGAGCAGAAGGTGGACGTCTTTGAGTTCGTGTCCAGAATCCGCAACCAGCGCCCACAGATGGTTCAGACCGATGTGAGTCACGCCCTCCTCCTCCGGCTGCTTGCCCTGGCGTGAGCGTCACAAAGCAAACCCAGACGTCCCAGCCACCCAGCAGGCATGCAACTTTCCCCAAGATGTGCACATAGGGCAGGGCCCAGCGGGGAGGACGCCCGCAGTGACGCCCACTGTCACCCTGGCCCTGGTCAGAGGCCACCAGGGGTCCTTATAAATGGCCATTAGTCTGACTTTGCCCCCAAACTGCCTCCCCTTTGCATAAGGAGAAGAGAACGGCTCCCTCGGAGCTCCTCTGGGTCTCCCCGCAGATGCAGTACACGTTCATTTACCAAGCCTTACTGGAGTACTACCTCTACGGGGACACTGAGCTGGACGTGTCCTCCCTGGAGAAGCACCTGCAGACGCTGCACGGCACCACCACCCACTTCGACAAGATCGGGCTGGAGGAGGAGTTCAGGGTAAGTGCCGACCTGCCCTAAGGGAAGACGGGACACCCTTTAAACGAGGCTGCTCTCAGTCGCTTCGCCTCTTGATTGACCCCAAAAAAGGCCGGGGAACTATCCTGCCCGTGACTCTCAAGGGAATAATAATGGGGCTTTCGGAGCTTAGCAGCCGGCTGGGGCAGGAAGCAGGGGGCGATGGGCGTGACGTGGAGGCACTTCTACTTCCCAAGACTCAGGACGTGTCTGGAGACAGACAGGTGTTCCCTCTGAGCAGGTGCCCTTGACAGTAGTGCGCTAGGAGGTTGAGCACCCTCTCGGGAGTGGCAGCGTTTTAACTGCAAGGCTGTGTCCCTCTTGGCTGCAGAAACTGACAAATGTCCGGATCATGAAGGAGAACATGAGGACAGGCAACCTGCCGGCCAACATGAAGAAGGCCAGAGTCATCCAGATCATCCCGTGTAAGGCAGCCCGGCCGCGAAGTGTAGACGCCCGAGGCGGGTGCCGAGGGGCTGCCACCCTGTGAGGGGCTGAGAAGTCACTGACCGCCCACCTCAGTAAACCAGCAGTCAAGGGCTGGGCGCCTTCTGGGAGCTCTGTCAAGTGTGGGGAAGAGAACGCCCACCTGTGGAGGCACGAGGGACCCAGGCAGTCTGGGCGGCAGCTTGTGACCTGGGCTTGGAGGCGGGAGAGGGAGGACTTCCTGGAAGCGGAGAGATTAGCTTCAGGCATGAGTCAGTGCCTCCTGGTTCCGCATCTCATTCACTCCTCCCCCAGGCCTGGGTGGAGGCAGGGCACCCCCTGTACACGGGCTGGGGTTGGGATCCCTGCCCAGGCCCTGCAGCAGGACCTGAAAGGAACTCAGCTGCGACCTTCCGGGAAGAGGCCTTGGGAGGGTCAAGGGGCGGGAGGGGAAGCACCGGGGCACTGGGCTGCCCAAGGTCGCGGGAGAGGCAGGGCCTGCGGGCCTGGCAGGAGCAGAGGCATCCGAGGAACCACAGAGGGAAGTGGGCCGGCGCCCGTCTTGCAGGGAAGAGGAGAGCCTCACTGCAGACCTCCGCTCCCTGGACACGAGCTCGGGCGGGAGCAGGGTGCCCGCCTGGCCACACGCCTTTTACTTCTGAAATGTAGCACCTTTAACACTTATATTTTGGTATGAGTGACTTCACTTTATGACCAGTGAAAACCATAGAACTCTCCTGCCAAAACACAGTTTCCCCGGGGCCATTTTACGTAGCCTGTTTTATAAAGTGAACCTTCCGAGGAGCTGACTTTATTCAGCGATTTCATGAAGAAGTTTTGTATTCGGAAGCTTGTAGCAGCACGCAGGTTTGCAGGGCAGAATGGGGCTTGCGCTGACCCAGGGGGACACACTGCCTTGCAGATGACTTCAACCGCGTGATCCTTTCCATGAAAAGGGGCCAGGAGTACACGGATTACATCAACGCGTCCTTTATAGACGTGAGTACAGTGGCTGCGCCGAGCCTGGCGAGGCTGGGCGCCCCTTCATCCCCGATCACACAGACCCTTGATTAACTAAGTTGCGTTCACAGTCAGAAAGGATCGACGCACCCCCAGAAATCTAAACCGTTCCATTCGCGGAATCGCTTGATTGAAAACACGAACCAGGAGCTCTGGGAACAGAGGATGGAGCTGCACTGTCAAGCAGTTTGCTGGTTTTCCATTTTGCCTCCAGTGACAGTGACTTCTCTTTCACATCCCTGTTACGCCCCAGTCCCGTTACCTGTGCTTACACACGCATCCTCTCCCGTGAGCTCTGCGTGGATGACACGAACGTGTCCAGGCACACGGTCACAGGCTGCCTCACACACAGCAGAGTCAGCTGAAGAGCGAGCGATAAGGAGGTGCAGCCAAGTCTGTGCGAGGGTTCCCATTTGCAGCTGAGAACACGGTGCCAGGGGTCGCTTGGGCCCGAAGCGGGGACCTGGGATTTGAACCCACTTCCTCTAGCTCCACGCCCAGGCTCTCTGCCCCACCGCGATGCTAGCTTAGCGATAGCACACACGGGCGTGTTAGAACCAAAGCCGGCGGGAGCAAGGGGTTTATAACACCCATTCAGAGATGCCCTAGGAGTGGAGGCGGGCTGCCTAGTTTGGGCACCTTGACCTGTTTTCTGTGCATGTGCATGTGTGCACGTGTGTGTGTGTCGGCTGGGGCTCGGCTCAGGCCCTGCAAGCCTGGGGGGCGCTACCTCTCACCCGGCCCCAAGCCGTCCCAGACTCACGAGCCCCACCGCGGCGGAAGCGAGCTGGAGGCCAGGCTTTAACCTCTGCTCCCATTTGAAGGGCTACCGGCAGAAGGACTACTTCATCGCCACGCAGGGGCCCCTGGCACACACGGTGGAGGACTTCTGGAGGATGGTCTGGGAGTGGAAGTGCCACACGATCGTGATGCTGACGGAGGTCCAGGAGAGAGAGCAGGTCAGGGGCGCCCCGCAGCCCGGCCTCCGGGGCGGCTCACACACAGCAGGGGCTGCCCGCCTGATGTGGCCACGGTTCAGCCTGTCTTTTGTGATTGAGTTCTTTCACTTAGCGTGATGTTTTCAAGGTTCATCCGTGTTGCAGCATGAATCCGCTCCTCATTCTTTTTGTTTTATTACGCAAATGTACCACACTTTGTTTATCTGTTCATTGGTTGACGGGTATCTGTGTCGTCTCCACTCTTGGGCTGCTATGGATAACGTCACGAACTTTCATGGACATGCTTTGACATGGATGCATGTTTTCATTTCTCTTGGGTGGATACCTAGGGGTGGAATCCTGGGCCTATCATAACTACCTTGCAGACGTTTGGAGGAACTGCCAGACTGCTTTCCAAAGCCGCCGCCCCGCTTTATATTCCCACCAGCAATGTGCAAGAGTTCCAGTTTCTCCACATCCCCATCAACACTTACCATTATCTTTTTGATTAAGGCCATCCTAGTGGATGTGTTCTGAGCCTTGAAAGAAAAAAATCTTTTTATAACACATAGATATGTTCCTAAAGAAACTGCTCTTCAGCTTTGCCTGCTTTTGAACTTTGTACAAAGGGTACCATCACCGTATGTAGGCTTCCTGCACGTATTTTTCCGCTCAAAATTCTATTTCCCTGTATTGATGCTTGTAACTGTGGCTTATTCATCGTTATTTCCTTATACACCACTGCACGAACTACACATCATGCATCCATACGTTTGTCCCCTCTCCCATCGAGGACATTTGTGTTGATTCCATTTTGTTGTTTTACAAACAGTGCTGTAGGCGCAATCTTGTGCGTGTCTCGTGCCGCACAAGGAACGGTAGGTTGCAAAGAGACAAAATGCTGCACTGGAGAGCATTATGTGAAAGTCTGAATTTGAAAGGTAGCTCTTAATAGCTTTCCAACGAGGTCATGGTTTCCACAGTGGACACGATGACTTTCATTTATTGACATCCTTAATGTTGTCTGGCATCCTCGTTTTTATTAAATAGGTTTAAATGTCATCTCTCCACGCCTCTGATTTGCAGCCCTGAGCTCAGACGGCACTCTGTATGTTTACAGATGGCGTATTTCCTCTTGTGCAAAGTGCCTGTTCATGCCTTTCGCTCATTGTTCTGGTGTGTTTTTGCCCTTTTCTAACTGATTTATAAGATTTCTCTACGATTCCTTGGTACTGAGCCTTGTTGGTGTTTGTTATGTGTTGCAAGTGTCTTGTCCCAGTTAATTCCCTGTCTTTTCACACCCTTGGTATTTGTTGATGACATGGAGTTATTTTATGATAATCTGATGTTGCAGTCTTTTGTGTCATAGTCAGTGAGCTCTTTAGGGATCTTGTTTGGCAAATCCGTACCCACAATGAGGAGACATTTTCTTCTTCTAAGGCTTTCACAGTTTTGTTTTCTACTGTAAGTCTTACCCTCTCTTGGTTTGTCATTAAGGTTCAAGGCTACCATGTATGATAGAGCAGGTTGTATACACTGTGCAATTCCAGGAGGGGCTGGGGCGTTCATATCAGGCCAGGTCGGGTGTGAATTAGGGATCCAGTTCTCTTTTCCTGTATAGAAAACTGATTTCCCAGCTCCATTTATTGACTGGTCTCCCCCTTGTGTCACGTCATTTCTGTTCTCTATCAGAGTTTCAGATACACACATGTCTGTTTCTGGACTCTCTGTTCTGTTCCCTTGATCAACAGGCATTAATAGCATTCATATTAGTATTTGTAATTTTTTTCTCAGTCAGACAAAATATGTTAAATGATTTGAGAGCAATTTGGCATCATATCATCCAAACTGCTAGCAGCAAGTTATCTATTATGAGACTTAAATTCCTATTTTATCCTCCAAGGATAAATGCTACCAGTATTGGCCAACAGAGGGCTCAGTGACTCATGGAGAAATAACGATCCAAATAAAGAGCGATACCCTGTCTGAAGCCATCAGCGTACGAGACTTCCTGGTCACCTTCAATCAGGTATTGTTGTCAAAGACCTTGAATCTCTTGGGGACAGAACACACTGCAGTCATCACCCGGGGTCCGCTTGTCATTGTCCCAGAATGTCCTGCTGCTTCTGGCTTCTCTGGAGCCCCACATTCATATCAGTGGTCAGTGTGGACAGTAGGGAGCCGCATTATCAAGTGACAGATCTCTTAGAAAATGTGACCTCCGTGTCACCTCCTTGCTGGAGCGTGAGGATGGCGGGGCAACTCCCAGAGGCATCCCACTGCCTCCCCTCCTCAGGACAAGTAGCAGCGGCGAGGGGCAGGAGGGAAACGGGCACTAGCGGAGTCACAGAGGCCGCTCTGCTGCCCTCTGCCAGGCCCGTTTTCAGAGCCCCCGGCCGTCCCCCTCCCCATGGGGTCTTGGGCCCTTCTCCTGGTCAGACTAGGAACTCTGCGTGTCAGCCATGGGTCAGGTGCCTACCTTTGATTCTGAGCTCAAGACGGTCAGTACAGTGAAGCCTGGCTTTGCCCGAAGGTCACAGAACAACCCGGGCCACTAGACTCAGAAACTCATCTCCAGCCTTGAAGGGACAAGTGGAGTCCTGGCTTCTTTAAAAAAAAAAAAAAAAGGATGACCCCTGTTCTCTCAAGCAAGAGTGCCCAGGACCCCATTAGGGGGCCTGGAGGGCCCTGGGGGCTCCGGGCCGCATCCTCTGGGTGTTCTGACCCCCACGCAGAAGGAGCCGTCACTAGCTTTCTGCTTTAAGATGACCGCAGCCCACAGACACCCTGACTGGGGCCCTCAGGCCAGCCAGATGGGAGCTCTACTGGCCACCGAAGACCTCGGGAGGGCTCCCCGTCTTGGCTTGAGTCCCTGGGAGGGCAGGCAGACTGTGACCCACCCCAGGTGGGCAGGGGCCTGTGATGGGGCAGCACTGAGACGCTCTTCCCGCCGGGCAGCCCCTGGCCCGCCAGGAGGAGCAGACCCGGATGGTGCGACAGTTCCACTTCCACGGCTGGCCAGAGATCGGGATCCCTGCCGAGGGCAAGGGCATGATCGACCTCATCGCCGCTGTGCAGAAGCAGCAGCAGCAGACGGGCAACCACCCCATCACCGTGCACTGCAGGTGAGCGCCGCCTCCCGGTGGGGCGGATGCGGACCCCACACCCAGCTCACTGCTCCCAGCAACATAATTTCCCTGGCCTGTAGTTTCTACCTTGCCTTACGCATGTAATAAATTTACATCAGTGCACAAAGGCCATCTTAGCATACATGCAGAAGTATTTGGGGAGGAGTCAGGAAATGACTCAAACACACATTTCTTTGTTGCTTTTTAAGTGTTAAAAAAAAATTTCCAGGCACAGCTCAGACAAACCCTGAACTTCAGTTGTCTTTGTTTTGAAAGACAGCCTGGCTGAGGTGCCCACCCAGCAAACAGGAGGGTCTCCTTGAGCTGCTCAGGGATGTCCAGGCCGGGGTCTGCAATGGAGCGCCCCCAGCCTTACTCCATCCTGAAGCCTCTCAGTCCAGCTCCCAAGTCAGGACCAAGGACAGAGGGACGGACAGAGGGACACACCTCGGGCAGAGGGTGGGAGGGTGGGGACACCTGGACACATTGAGGCACCCCAGCAAACACCTGGATAGACAGCATTACGGGGGTAGAGACCGAATCTGACCAGATCTGGGGACGTGCCAGCTCCCCTTCCCTCTGCGCCAGGACCCTCTGCAAGCGGGGCCTTGGCCACCCTTGCAAAGCTCTTGCCCACAGAGTCTGTGCTGTTTAATCCCGAGGGTCCTAATTTGCTTCTAAAGCTGCGCTTCTGTCCCCTTCTCCACACACGTGGCTCCCGTTTTTTGTGAGTGCCTGCTGCTCCGCCCCCAGCCCTGCTCCCCACACCCAGCCCTGCAGCCAGCAAAGCACAGCTGAACAGCGAGGGTTTGTTTCCTTGTCTGAGACCCGCCTGGCGCACTTCCGGCCTGGCCAGCAGGTGGAGTGCATGCTGTGGTTTGCAGTCCCTGGCGCCTTCATAGACATCCTTTGGGATAAACTGGAACTGAGTTCCTCGGTGTTCCATCTCTGCAAACCCAGGCTGAGCTTAGCACGTGTTGGGCACCAGGGATACGAGACCCACAAGGGCATCCCATCTGTGGGAAGGCAGACGCAGAGACTGGAATCTTAGAACCAGCCCACAACTGGGATTCTGGGGCTCAGAGGTCAGCCGTGCATCCCCAGAGGGCTCCCTGGAAGAGGCCAGCCAAGCCTGCCTCCCTTAGGCCTGCTTTCTCCCTCCTAAGAGGGTCTGCTCTTGTGGGTATATCCAGTCTGTCAAGCAACTGATCATCTTAAACGGAGTAGACTCAGATCTCCATCGCTGGGAAGTGTTCGTCCATTATCTGACCCCTTAAACCCCGCCTTGCACACTTCCCGTCTCAGAAGGTGGGTCTGCACAGCAAAGAGAGTCTGGGCCAGGGCCTCCTGTCCCTCGACCTGAACCGGGAGGGGCTTCACTTCTAACAAGTTTCCAGGTGATGCTGGTGTGACTGGTCCCGGCGCCCCACCGAGAACCAGTGGTCTACACAGGGAAGAGGGGAGCGGTTCTGCAAGGTTAAAACCTTGTGACCGGTCCTGATGAGACTCAGGAGGAGTCTGTCTGTTGCAATTAGGCAAGTGTCTTGGGGATTTTGTATTTGCTGACTCTTGGTCAAAAGCTAAAGCCACATGCAAATGATCGTTAAAAACCCCGACCGCGATCCTTGCGGTGACGGTTTCTTCAGTCCTGGGGGCCGTGGATTCTCATCCCCGTGGGCTGGCTTGGGCATCTCATCAAGCACGTTTTCCCCACAGCGCCGGGGCCGGAAGAACAGGGACGTTCATCGCGCTCAGCAACATCCTGGAACGAGTCAAAGCTGAGGGGCTTTTAGACGTATTCCAAGCTGTGAAGAGTTTACGACTTCAGAGGCCACATATGGTGCAAACCCTGGTAAGAACCTGTTTCCAGGGGAGTCGAGACCCATCTGATGCTGAATTTGATGTATGTTTCGTTGAAAGAGTTCAAGTGGGGCGGAGGGGGGGAGGTAAGTTTCCAAGAAATAAAGCTAAAAGTTCCAGTCAGTTTACAGTAAAGTTTTAGAGACTCCCTCCTTCCTTCTCGGGCTGGGGTCTGTCCCCTGGGCAGGACACGAACGGAGGGGCACATCCAGGACGTCCTGTGATGAGACCCCCAAGACAGAGGCCCTGCTGGTACCAGCTGCTGTGTCAGAGTGAGCTCTTCCACCGGAGCCCAGTGTGCATTTACGGATGGACCAAGCTCAGAAGCAGCTCTGACGTTTCCAGTCCTGGTTCTTGTAATCTTCTGCCGTCCACTGTCTGTCTGGACTCTTCCTTGGCTGGGTCTCACTCAGCCTCCAGACACTGTCCAGGGGGCTTAAGGAATCCATTCAGTGAGCAGTTGCTCCGTACATCCTCTTGCACTTGGTGGTGAAAACACACACTTCCTGGTTTGCAGGAGAGATGCCGCCTCACCAAATCCGGTGATTGCAGCCTCAAGTGCAATTTTAAAGGCTGTTCATGCCTGTCCCTTTCCCCGGGGCTACCTGCTTTATTTAGGCCTTGCCCTCCCAGCCTACTCACTCTCCTTGCTATCTCAGTCCTGACTCAGGCACTTGGCCTTCCCTCCTGAGGACTGAGGATCTGGTGGCAATTGCAGTAGCAGGAAGGGAGGAGCCCCCCATCCCTTCTTGGCTCTCCCAACAACTTCCCTGCAATCTCAGGACAGGAGGTTCCTGCTTCATCTTTTCTTTCCCTGGAAGGCCAAGCTCCTCCCTGTGCCAGCTGGACTGAGATTTCAGAAGGGCCGGACAGGCTAATGTTTGGCCTTATTCAACTCAAAAGCCTATAGATTTTTGGGGTGGGTAATTAGGTTTATTTATTTATTTAGTAGAGGGACTGGAGATTGAATCCAGGGCCTTGTGCCTTCCAGGCATACGCTCTACCACTGAGCTATATCCTCCCCTGCGATTTTTGTTCAGTGTGAATTTAGGGAAGAGGCTGAATCCAAGGTGTTGGGAAAGAAGAGGAGGGGGCTGGGAGCCGCCCTCAGCCCCCCTGCTTCCCCATCTGCCATGTTCTCTGGGCCAGCAAATGGCCAGGGTCTGCAAGTACCCAGACCCTTTTACTGCCCTCTGTTGTTACTCGAACCTTCGGGGTCCACCTCCTGCCAGCTGATGTTATGTATACAGGGTTTTCCGAGATGCACAGTAGGCATGCTGAAGAGTCCTACCATCAACAATTTCTCCATCTTTATTATTTCTTCCTTTGAGTGCCCGTTATTCGGGGGTGCCACACACCCTGCTCGCTGGTCCCCCATTAACCCGCCACCTACCTGGCTCTAGTCTTAACCACCTCACAGAGCTTCTGGGAAGGCAGGAGTCAGATGCTGTACAAGTGTTGAAATAGGTTAATAGCCTTATGCAGACGCAGACATAAGGCATTGTCCTTCGCATCCTAGTAACACTTACATGTAACAATGTCCCTTTTGTAGTGTAAACTTCGGCTTGAGAACAATCTATAGTCCTAGCCTATTTAACTTCTATAGGTTACTTTTTGTTACATTATGAAGTTTGATGCTAAGTACACTAACTTTTTTTTTCCAGTTCAAAAGTAGTTGTTTTTTCGTTTAAATATGAAAACCTAAAGAATCTTTCACCCAGACTGTCCTAAATACACTCAGCTAAGGTGAAACTAAACATGGACATCTTCTCTCTAGAAAAACAGCTTTATTTGGAAGTGTTCATGTGCCTAGAAACTAAGTGAAGCAACGGAAGCCAATGTGTATTAGGGTATAATACAGTATTTTAATAACTAATCAGATTTTTTATGTCTTCCTGTTACTGTTTCTCCTAATTAAATCAATCACATATTTTAAAAATATTATTTTAATATGTTCTTGCTTTTCTTTTTCAGGAACAGTATGAATTCTGCTACAAAGTGGTACAAGATTTTATTGATATATTTTCTGATTATGCTAATTTCAAATGAAAACTCCTGCCTTAAAATATTTTTTAATTTAATGGTCAGTATATTTTGTAAAAATCATGTTAATTTATTTCATAGTTGGCATTAATATCCTTCCTAATTTCTTTGTATATATTTTGTTACGCTTTAAAGGCCACTTGCAGTTATTAAATCTCAAACACCCCTTTTAAAAACTGGAATAATGTATTAAGTTCAAATAATATCCCATAAAATATATATTTCTGCTAATCAGTAAAAAATTTTAATTTTTCATTAGATTCATATTGTATAATTTCACACAGTCAGCATGTCTAAATGTTAGAAGTCTTAACATGCCAAGTGTGTTTACTTACACAAGATACTAACCACAGCGTCATTAGGAAACAGTCGAGGACTCAGAAATCAGTGGAAAGTGGACTTCCCTGACACTGGTTTCACAGCCCCGAGCAGCAGCAGGTTTTTGAAAGCAAACCTTTGGTGAAGATGCGGTGGAATAGGGGTTGTTGCAGTCCTTAATCTCGACCCGTGTGGTTTATCTTTGCATTTAAAGATCAAAGGAGACTTTACAACCCGAGTACAGGTCTAAAACACACTGGAGTAGTTGGTGACTATTATTAATACTTAGAAATGCATTTATTCAAGGCTGTGGCATGCCATCTTGGCTGGACGGGTGAGCTGGGAAGGCTGGTGGGCTCATGTGCCCACGGCTGTGGGTCCAGCAAAACCAGCCCTCAGAGTTTCTCTCCCAAGACGCTGCGTGCTGTCCGTCTGTCTGGGTGTTTGACTCAGATGGTTCTCTGAGACTCACGTGACAGAAAAACCACTTCCCATTCCAAAAGGTCAGGTAGAGCCAGGCGTCTCACGCTCACGGAAGCAAAGAGCGCCCGCCTGGTAGAAACAGAACAGCCACAGGCAATTCTGCGTTAAACTTCTTGAGAAGCATTTTGGTATTTGAAGGTCTCTTGTAAAAACCAAGACTGTAAGAAAAGAAATCTTGAAATCTAGATTTATACAGTTTTTAAGTCCCACTCCTCAATATTTAATAAAAGAAGAAGAGAAATCCTTAATCTGAAGGCTAACTTATTTTTGAATGGTTACTACTGAGGCCCCTGGCACTGGATGCTAATGATCCCAGAGCCAGACGGGATTGGCTTTTGGGACCAAAACAAAGGGGAAAGGATGCATGTAGAAAGGTTTAATCTAACAGCGATCAGTCTGGGACATTCAGGTGTCTAGATGAGTACAATATCAAAAAGACATCTGGTCTACCTTTCTGAACACATTGGACATGTGCATTTGGGGGTACTTTTTTTGCTTTTTAAAAGAAATATGAGTCTAAAGGCCTTACTTGCCATTTCCACTGGTAACTGATTGCACCTTCCTACCGCCCTGTTTATCCCATGTTCATTTCTAGCGTTCATTTCATCCCAGGGTCGGTTAAGTCCCAATAGCGGGCCCAAGGCATCAAGTTTCCACCACGCCTCCGAGCCCCGCCCACTGGCCGGAGGAGGCGCCCAGCTGACGGACAAAAGCACAACTTGCCAGCGCTGCCATCACCACCAGCTGCTGCCCTGGGCCACACACAGCTGGAGGCGCCCATCTGCCTTCTGGGCACACGAGCATGCATTTGGGCCCAGGAGGAAAACGGAGAGTGCTTTGCAAGACCTGCCAGGTGGTCCATTTGTTGTCATTGTTAAAATCCCAAGCCC